AATTCAAGTTGCTTCTTTCAATTCAAGTTGCTTCTTTCAATTCAAGTTGCTTTTGTCAATTCAAGTAAAGTCTCATTTTTATTATTTTCACTAAAAGAAAAGACAGCTAACATTTTCCGCAAGCAGTCCAAATGGTAATTAGATAAAGTTAGGTGATCAGAAAGAGTAAGTAGTAATTTTCAAAGTCTTGCTGACAATTTTTCAGGAACCTAGTATAATGGGAAAAAAATGTAGTTATCAAATGTGACATTGTGAGCACTCCCAAAAAGCAGTGTGGGCCTCCCTACACCTTAAGGACTGCAGTGGTTTGAGAAGGTAGCTCACCACAACCTTCTCTGTAGCCAGTAACATTCACACCCTATGAATGGAAAAATCAATTTTTGTGTTGAACATAGAAGATCAGTCACAATCATAGTGAGTGGCACAGTATGTGCTAGGTCTTTATAGCCTGCTCCTGTTCTTATTTCTTATATTCTTAATGTTTTCAAAACGCCTTTAAGCTACAAATGAGCTATAAATGTAATATTTGTTGATTTGTAAAGTGAAATTGCGATCAAATTGCGGGAGATATGCCCACAAATGTCTTCAATGTAAATGAGAAGACCCTTATGTAACTTGATTTGCCTAAGTACAAGCTTTCATATCTTCAGTCCTTAATGTCCTGACCTTGTGTCGTTAAAAGGCATTGAAAAATGTTGGGAGTTGGATCTGGAAAATTTGGTAATCCGTTTCTGTTTACTGTGCTGTCGTTGGGCGAGTATGATATAGTTTGCCATGTTGTCAGTGCAGTTGAGTGTGTTTTGCATTTTTTTTTGAGCTCCAGTGCAAAACCTAGAGTGCCTCCGCTGCCTTTTGTGGTTTCAGCTAAGGAAACTGGTGGGTGAGCAGGCATGCATTCATCAGACCCTTTGGGGTTCTTGAGCTCCCCAACTGAAGAACATACTGATGAGCCAGTTGTAGATGCAGTTAGTTCTGTTGTGCAGAGTACGGTGTAATTCACCTTGATATAATTTCTATGTCGACCTCCTGCATGCAATTGAAAAGAGCCTTGTCATCTGTTGGTTGGCCTCACCATTCTCCTCCTTTGCGTACTTATAACATGTTTGTGTCTATTATGGTGGGTGCAGTTGTTTCCATCTTACACACCACCTTGGTTATGAATATGGCCTCCAGAGCATTTGTGTTGTATTGCTGCTTATCCGTGGCATAGATGACCTAAGAGATCAACTGCCATTGGTAGCGGGATCTAGGTTCCTAATAAACCCTGAATCACTGGCTGGAGCTTTGCGTGGTGTTGGAAGACAAGAATGTCAACTTTTTCTTTTGCTCAATGGTCATGGTGCAACAGGAAATTTTCTGTAGTATAATCTTCATTTTTTGCATTGGTATTTTTTTTCTCTCACTTTCTTGATCCACACCTGAAAAAATGCTGGAGCTGATCTTGTAAGCTTCTTTCAAAATAGTGTCTTGACTGTTGCATAGCAATGTGGCTTCTTGGAAGTTCTACCATAAGAAGTGAAAGCTTTTTGGTGCCACCTGCATAGGTCCAGATCATTAGCAGTGACACAATCTTCCATCATTTCCACCTTTTAAAGATCAGTGTATGATCTGACAAAAAAAGTGGTAAAGCTGTCCGGTTTCATCGATGTTTTAATAAAATTTCTCGTTGTTTACTCGCTCAGCGCACAGAGATCGTTTTGCAGCTAATCATGTGTCATTACTGCTGTAACTGCTGCATCCTCACCACTAACCATGCTTAAGACAATTCCATGCCTTGAATCAATCCAGTCATCCATTGCTACAGGTTAGCTCCTTGTGGCCCAGCCCAGCATGGCAACTCCAATTTCTGCAGGATTGCCTTGGAGCTGGAAGCATTCTGTTTAACTTTCCTTAAAACACATTCACAGAGCTCTTTCAACATTGGGATAGCCAGCCAGTCTCATCTTCTGCCTTACCTGAGAGAATGCCAGTTTGTCAGACTGTTCCAAGATGTGTCAGTGTTCTGACAATGGGTCACAAATCCCAGTGTTAACTTCTTCTTTTTGCTGTTGACAGATGCTCCTAGACCTGCTAAGTTTCTCCAGCACTTTGTTTTTGTGTGTTTCAGATCTCCAGCATCCATGATTTAGTGTTCCAAGATGTTTGCCTTATATTCAAAATGTTTGAAAAACTTAAGGTGGAATCTCCCAAACCTTTTATCTGCTTTGTGCCACAGTTTTCCACTTGCTTTATTAATTTCTCTTTCTCTCCATTCAGCAGCATTTTTAACTTTCTCATAGGGTTAGTCGTGCTTGAATGTACTTTCACATGATGATCTTGAAATCAAATGATGGCTTGTCCAGAGATCCATGATTTGGTGTTTTTGTTTTGTCCCCTCCCTCTGCTTCCAGTATAGTCATAATACCACCCCAAACAACCAACCAGAGCAATGTACTGATAATCAAGCTCAACTATGCCAGTTGTACCAGTGTTGTAAATGTGTTGAGTCTTCAATCATCAGAATGGTCAGTTGTTTCTCCCTTGCTCTATTTTCTAAGAATAAAAGAGACTTTCACCAGGCTGCTTTAGTGACCTCCATATAACATACCTTAGCATTCAGACATAGTCTGGAATTAGAATTGTAAACTATAAACTCAAACACTGATACACTGAGCACAACACAAAAGGATAATAGTCTCTGCAGAGAGGAGTTTTTTTTTCGTAAAGGCCATTAGTAGGGAAAATGTTCCCCAACAGACCACGGGTTGGAAAAACAAAGGAGAGAATATGATGGCTTCTCACGAGTCCACTGGGTTTCCTGTTGATGAAAGGTAATTGATGTTGGCCCAAACCAATAGCTGATCCTCAGTTTGGATCGGAACCAAGATGGATACGAGTCTCTGGAAAGTGGCCACGATTCCACTTTTTCAGGGCCTATAAGATAATCAAAAACAGGTTTTCCAGCTAATAAGAGCCATAAATCCCATATTTTACCAGCTTAAAAACCTTTATTCAAAGTCACGTCACTTTCTATTAACTGTAGGTAAAATTCCATCTGTTGATTTCATTTTCCAACAAGTCACAAAGTAAACCCTTTTTAATCTAAAACATGACCGAGCAACTCAAGAACATAAGAACTAGGAGCAGGAGTAGGCCGTCTGGCCCTGCGAGCCTGCTCCGCCATTCAATAAGATCATGGCTGATCTTTTCGTGGACTCAGATCCACTTACCTGCGTTCTCACCGTATCCCTTAATTCCTTTATTGTTCAAAAAAAATCTACTTTTTTTTTAGAAACGTTTACTGAAGTGGCGTCAACTACTTCACTGGGCAAGGAATTCCATAGATTAACAACCCTCTGGGTGAAGAAGTTCCTTCTCAATTCAGTCCTAAATCTGCTCCCTCTAATCTTGAGGCTATGCCCTCTTGTCCTAGCTTCACCTGCCAGTGGAAACATCCTCTCTACTTCTATCTTATCTATTCCTTTCATAATTTTATATGTTTCTTTCAGATCCCTCCTCAATCTTCTGAATTCCAATGAATATAATCCCAATCTACTCCGTCTCTCCTCATAAGCCAACCCCCTCAACTCCGGAATCAACCTCGTGAACCTCCTTTGCACCCCCTCCAGTGCCAATACATCTTTTCTCAAGTAAGGAGACCAAAACTGCACACAGTACTCCAGGTGTGGCCTCACCAGCACCTTGTACAGCTGCAAGATAACCTCTCTGCTTTTAATTCCAATCCCTTTAGCAAAGAAGGACAAAATTCCATTTGCCTTCCTAATTACTTGTTGTACCTGCAGACCTACCTTCTATGATTCATACACAAGGACACCCAGGTCCCTCTGCATAGCAGCATGCTGCAACTTTTTACCATTTAAGTAATAATCCTTTTTACTGTTACTCCTACCAAAATGTATAACTTCACATTTATTTACATTGTATTCCATCATTACATTGTAACTCCACATCTTCCCATTTGTGTCTCAGTCCATAAATACAGATATGTATTCCAACAGTGATTTTATGACAAGCTTGCAAAAGTTCCAGACTGATGATATTGGATTTGCTGAACTTTGGCTTATCATGGCTGTCATTGTATTGAATTTGCCATCCAGTCAGCGGGAATGACTGACAACTTTGGCACGGCTGGAATCTCTCAGTATCCGCTTTTGATTCATTGTGATTCTGCTGTAATACTACAATGCATTTAATTCTGTGCTACCATACTAGGCAGTCATTCAGACTCAGAATGTCTCAGGAATTGAGTTAGGGATTTTAGTTAGGGATAATTGAATGCTGAAATTTGATGTATTTTTGGTTTGTCCACTTGTATATGACTATGAGTCAGTACATGGCAGCTTTAGCAATGAAAGGAAGTTATTTGAAAGTATTTTGTCATTAAAAGTTCTGTAATTGTAAAGCATCAGCTTTCAGCAACAATTCAGTAATTGAATTGATCTGTAAAAGGTGCACAAAATCAAAACGTATATTTATTTCATGGATTTTAATCTACATTTCACAATTTGAACAGTGTTAAGGAAGCTTCTCTGTCCACTGTGTCAACTTCTGTTCAAGAGGCAACAACGACCACCCCAGTGGAGGTTACTGAGAATGAAATTACAACCACTGAAGATCATGAAAAGGAACAAACAACAGCTGTTGAGCAGTCTGAACCCGAACCTGTAGAGATCATTTCTCAGCCAGTAGAAGAAGTAACAAAGCAAGAGATCCAAGAAAAGTATGTTTTAATTTGCTCCACATGACAAAAATGTAGCTGAATTGTCTAACATTTTTAGTGAATTGTTTTAAAAACATGATTGAAATCAAAAATCTTTATATTTATGCTCCAAGTTAACTTTCCATTTAATTTTTTGAATTCATTCATACGCCTGATGTTATCTCAATGGCTGGTTTGATTTCTATTTTTAATATAAAGCTTTTTTGTTCAGTTTATAAATATTAATGTGAAATGTTTAATAAAAATAATTATTTGAGATAATTCCACCATGCTTCAAAAATTATTAACAACTAATCTGAGTGTTTTGTTTCAATTTCTTTTAACTTTTTCTCATAGTGATATTCCAAAAAAGGAGGAGGAAGTGAAAAAAGAACCAGTGAGGAAGACCTATACCTGGAACACAAAAGAGGAGGCAAAACATGCATTTAAAGAGCTACTGAAGGAAAAGGTATTTACTGAGAAATGGAAATTTGATCACTTTATTGCATATTAGATTTCTGCAACATTTCCAAATTTTTAGAAAATAAAGCAGAGATTTCCCAAAGATCTACAAATATTTCACGTATTTATGCAATTTTCTTCTGAAAGTTATCACTAAATCTGCTTCCACTACCTTTGCAAACAGTGCATTCTGATCAGAACTTGCAATATTTAAAAAAAACTCATCATTTCCTGTCCACTCCACAAGTTTCTTTGTCAGTTATCTTAGATGTGTTTCCTTTGATTCCCAACCCAACACACTGAAGAGGATAATACACCATGAGTAAGAATACAGAATACTAGCTTAGAGGAAGTATAAGTGATTTGCTGTCACATCTGGAAGGAGTATTTGGGGCCCTGGTACCAGAGAAGGAGAGCAGATAGCAGGAGTGATGCATTTCCTGTCAGAAAATGGGACACATCAGTCAAGGTTTCTGATATTCCTCATGGTTATGAGAAAGTTCAGCTGAACAAATAGGAGGACATGTTAGAATTTAAACAACATACAATTGAGAATAAAAAAACCTGGAGCAAGCAGTTAAGATGTGAGAGAAGCAGGGTATGAAATGTACAATATATTCAGCTGTGACAGAGGGTTTGTAGGTTTTTTCTCATTCAGTCGTTCATCGAATGTGGACGTTGCTGACCAGGCACTTGAATCTGAGGATGTGGCTAGGATTCGCTTCATGGATGGCCTAAAACTGGATGAATAGATTCTGTTGTTTGTGTTGTTTTTTTCCAATTTGTAATTATACCATAGCAAGCAGTTGGGAGAGGGTAAGATTATAGGCTAAAAGTAATGTCTTTGGTAGGAACTAAATTTTTATTCCAATTGAACTTGTTTTTGGTCAGACTTGCCACTTGGGGAAAGAATTTGCGTTTAATCCTGCATGTTATCTGTTACTTTAGGGTGTCCAGTCAAATGCCTCATGGGAACAAGCAATGAAAATGATTATAAATGATCCTAGGTATAGGTAAGTTTCAAGACTTTTCTGTTTAATCTTTTGTGACCCTTTGCTCAACATAAACCTTAAGGAATTATCTACCTTTGTTTTAAAAAAGAATGTAACTAAATGAAAGCAAAGCTATATCGCTCTTGCAGTGGAAATTTTTTTAAAAAGCTCAACAAAAAGATGTCAAGAGAAAATAATATGGACATAACTTTGAACTCCTGAGATCTCTGTCCTGTGCTACCTGCAATGCACTAATGATTTTGATATAGTTATGCGCGCACAGATCCTGCTTGCAAGGGGGTTAAAATTGACATTTCTGCATTTTGCTCAGTTGGAGGTCCTGCTAGCATAAATTGTCTTTCTGCACTGATTGATTATTGTACAGTGTAGGACTTTAGAGGCCTCAGACATGGAAGAAAATCTTTGTTTTGCATGGAGTTTTGTTCCCCACCTGGATGCAGTCAGTATGTTCTAGGGTTTTATAGCTTCCAAGAACAAACTCTGGAAAAAGCTATGCATTACCTGTACCAGCTGGTATATATTTGTTGCTTTTCTCCCATATCTGGTCTTTTTCCAGCTAATAGAGGTCAATGCACTCCAAATATTACCAATGACCCTTAATGTCCGAATGATATTGCTGTTGGGCTGCGTTCTCCAGTGTGTATATTCAGTAGTCTCTGTTCTAGGTCTGCAATAATTAAGAGCTGTAATGTGTTCTTTGGTTACCCAAAATGCTGTCAGCCTGTGCAATGAGGCAGCTGGATGGTTGCAGAATTTGCTGCACTGATGCACCTTCCGTTCCATATACCTGTCTGCAGCTGCTGGTCTGCCCGAGACATTTTGATGAAATCCCTGATTGCCATTGCCACTGGGTCCCCTCCGGTTTGGGGCTTAGTGGGTGCCTAGTCTTCATCAGTCCTCCGAATGTCACTGCCCCAAGCTTCTGGGAGGGGCAGGTGTTTCTCCACAGGAATCATGGGGAGGTTACTGGAACCTTTCAGACAAAAAAGAGTGGCTATGCCACAGCCAGTGATTAGAAATAGTGTGCAATGATTAAGAGTGACTGTGGGGTTAATGTCATAGTTGCTATGGAACAAACTTGGTACTTGCTCATTTGGTGGACTTGGATGTTTTGGTGCTCTTTTATGAGGGCTAGGATTCTCTTCTCGTAGTGGGGGAGGACACTTCTCCACCTGTATGACTCTGCTCAGATATGGTCTGTCTTCTCCTGTGTGAGAAAAAGACAGACAATGAGTGAGGTGACACTGGGTGGCACAGCTGTTCTTGGTGCATGTGGGGGAAAGTTGATGAGGTGTACTGAAGGACTTAGGAGGCAGTACAGAGGGCATGCAGGGTTATTGGCGTGTGAGGTTGGGTAGGAGGAAGCCAGTCTGGGAAGGTGTTGCATGAAAGCGGCAGGGCATGAGACCTGGTGGGAGATAGATGCAGTAGCAGCAATGGAATAAGTGTGAGGTGGTGGGGAGAAGAGTGTGTCCCTTAGCTGGTGGAGTGGATAGGTAACTTTCTACATTGCTGGCATTCCTCTATGCCCTGGAGATGGCACAAACTCATGGCAACCTCAGACCAGGCTTGCAAGGCCTAATGATGTAACATCCTCCTCTCTTCATCCAAGAAGAGGACTCACCCAATCCACCAGAATTCTGTCCCTGTCAGAGAATTGCACTGTCATCTTTCCACTTCTTAGACATGTTCAAACTTTGTCCTTGATTGAGCAGGTAAATTTCAGAATTCCACGGTTCATCTAGGTGCACAACGGGTTTTTAAGGATGGCATGGCTGCAAGGGTTCCTGCTGTTAGAACAGTTATCTGCTGAGTGGCAAGTTTTGTTTCTGATTGATTTCTGCTGATCTTTGCTGCTTTTATGGGAACTCTTGTGGTTTCTAGAGTTTTTCAGATTTTCCAAAGACTGCAGGGTGTCATTTAACAGGAGCTGAAGAACTTTGACCTGACTTCAAGGATTCTGCACAAACTACTACTTCTTAGACATAGGTGTCATCATTGACACTCTATAACTCTTGAACTATAACGTGACAGGGAGAATAAGCAGGAGTGACCCTGGGCCGGATATGCTGCTGGAAGGAGGAGAAAGAGGAGAGAGGTACTCTCACCAAGAAGCCATTTCCACCCAGGAAATTCAGGGAGCAAATTTCCCATCTGATCATTGTGTTAAGATTTCAGATTTCTTTCCTTTTCGAGACTTTCTCCTCACTGGAATCTGTCATTTGCTGCCACCAAACTCAGAAGTCAGTGGCTGCATTGCCCACGGCTGCAAAGAAGATTGGACTGCACTGTGCTGCACAACCTTCCCATGTGATCTAATCCTTGCTGCCAGCTTCATAGTGACCAGCTGAGTAGTATGAGGAAGAGGAAAGGAGCAGACAACCAACATGACCCCTTTCTAACTGGGCTGCTGACTAATGAAGTTGGTACATTTTTGGACTCTATCAAGTTGTGGGATCAATCAGGATGGACAGTTAAGGTTGAAGATCAACATGTTCTTACTGAACTGTAGAGCAAGCCAAAGAAAGTGTATGGCCTATCCTGCTCTAATTTCTTATGTCCCCGTGTTCTTTTGCTAGCCTCTCAAAGGCATGCGGTGTCAGTATCTGAGCTAGTTGCTATAAGTGTCAGAATGAGAACCTGTATTTCTATTCAGTTCTGCTTTCCTGCTGTTTTTCCCCGTTGCCTTTCTACTGGAGCTGACCAGTTTACAATTCTTGGATATCTTAAATGAGAATTGCAAATGGGTTGGTAATGGAAGGGTAGGAGAAAGGGGTACGCAATTGCATATTTTGCAGCTTGTAAATCTAAAGAGGTTGTGGGAAGATGGGAATAGGATGGTGGGAATGAGGATTAATTAGAAGGATATTGTCATCTTCAGTAGCCTTAACTTATAAGGACTTCCATTGGTACATGTACATGCAGTTATGTCTTTTCCCTGGAGGTTGCTTACTGCTGCCTCTGGTTATGAGTGACCTTGCCCTGCAAGATAGAAGGAAATCTTTATCAGTGAGCTGCGATCTATTGCGGTTATTGGTCAGTGAGTTATGGAAATTTGCATTGTACAGTATGTGCAGTTAGTGTGATATTGTGTGGGAAGATAAATTTATTTGTGTGAGGTATTTGAACCTGTGGCAGTATATTGAGCACTTTGGAGCTTGACTGCTGACATTGACCACTGCCTATCTGCTCCCATTGATTTGGCACAATTTGTCTGGGGGGTCTTTTTGATTCCTCTGGATTTTGCATCTCCTTCCTCCTGCATGCCTCCTTCACCAATGCATCTAGCTTTGCATTGGAGAACTTTGGAGTACGTTTTCTCTTCTGTTACCTCATAATTTCTTCTTCTTGCTTAATTCTCTTCCACAAATAGTTCCAGAGTCTGCTCCAAGCAGGTACAGGTTGGCTTTAAATAGTGCTAACATTTAGCCCTGCTCCCATGCAACAATCATATAAATTAGCGAACAGCACCAAATGGCATGCTTCCTGCATCAATCATAATGAGTATTATTTATACCAGATTGTGATCCCATGACCATTTTAATAGGACGGTCTCTGCCAGTTGACTCTACAATCATTAAACACTCATGGCTGTAATTAAGAGTGCTTTCCTTTCTGGATGCCTTGCCTGGTACTGATGACTTAAGCATATTAATAGAGAATACAGAGATTACTAAACCAGGCAGGAATGGTATTTGATGTGCCAAATGTCATGGACAAAATCTACTGTCAAAATTTTGATGGAAGAGTGTCATAAACAACACGAATCATCCATCGTCTTGGTATTACTGTTGGATGTTTTCAGAGAAAAGGCTACAAACCTTCACATGCAGGGCACAACAGCACCTCAACTCATTTGTTCTCTTCTCTCTAAGAGCTTTTATGCACCAAAATGTGTCCTGGTCTCCGTTATCAAAACCTTTGCCAATTTATTAATTTTTAAACAAGAGATGCTTTACAATTTTGGCGGTAGGAATCACTATTTTAATGCTAATGGGAGAAAATTATGAAGTGTGCTTTGCAATTATTTTGCAATCTTGGTGAACTGGCTTGCTAAATTCATTGGTTTTTTTGTACTTCAATTACTTCACCAATGTTTGCCAATTGTAATTAACCATATTCTTTGAACTATGCAGTGCATTACCAAAACTTAGTGAAAAGAAGCAAGCATTCAATGCGTATAAAATACAAACCGAAAAAGAGGAAAAGGAAGAAGCCAGACTCCGCTATAAAGAAGCAAAAGAAAACTTTCAGCGATTTCTTGAAAACCATGAGAAAATGACATCTACTACCAGATACAGGTACAGTTACTTCTATCAGGACTATGTGAACAATTTAACAATTGTGAGTTTAATGGTAATCTTAGTTTGATTCTATTCCCAAAATACTGATCTCCTAAACTGAAAAAGGTTCTTCTGTATAAGTTCTGTTTTGTAATCTTGTACAAAGAAGGTTTTTATTATTCTTAATTTGTAATGACAGCTTCATGGTCAATTATTCATTTTTGAGTTTGAGAAATTTTGGAGTAGTCTGGGCTTGAGGGAGAAGCAGTGGAGCCCAAACCTGATGCTGAACTCTTCTGGCCTGGAAGATTTGAAAACTGTTATTAGTGGATGCAAGTGAAGACTGGGGATTTACAACTTTGGCGCAGAGTGAATTATCTAGACTGTTATTTATTGATTTGTCAAGTCAAAAGCACGACATCACTAAATTTGTGTACTGGAAAGGAAAATGTGAAGGTGGTTGACTTGTTTATCCAGCAAGAATAAAAACCACAGAATTGTTTGCTGAGTTAAAATTTGCAAGCCGGGTGAGGGAGATGGGCAGATTACAGTATGAGTGTGGGAAGGTGGAGGGGAAGAGAGGCTACAGTGAGTCTCTCTCTCCAGAAAATATGGAAGTTTGGATGAAATGTACGTGTGCATGTAGAATATTTTCACAATATTTTAATGAGGATTTTCTTCTACTGTATTAGACATTGATTTTTAATACATGAACTTTAATTATATGCTGAATGCCACAATGCTGCATTTTTGAATCATGTTAATTTTCAAGAATCTTAAAAATATTTATCTAATAAATATTTCATGGAATGTGAGTATTGCTGACAAGGCCAGCATTTAAGTCAAATAATTTTCAATTTCGTGTACCCATTTCTTGACAATATAGGTGTTAATTGATACCAGCAAAGCTCCCTCTTTGCTGAAAGTGAACTGTTGGAGCATGGAGCCAAATTCATTCGATGTTTATTCTGTCACCTTCTCTAGTAATTCAGTATTACTTTCCTCCTCTTTCTACACCCAATTTTACAACGAATTTACCCATTCTAATTTGTTTACTTCTCCAGTTTTCACATTAATTTAACAATACTGAAATCCGATTGGCTCTGAATATGTATAGTTGCATACCCTGTTTAGTCAAATTCTAGATGCTCTAAAGAGGCCACAACACATTTTCCATTTCAACCTTGCAGCTGTAGAAAATACTGACCATCTGTTGTCCTGTCACACCAGTCTTTGGGCTATTGTGTTCTTTTAAACTTTGGATATTTTCCTCCCAGCACTCTTGATTTTTCTTCTGTTCTTTTCTCATGTATTGTTCCTTAAATATAGGGTACAGATCCATGGGTACTGGTTATTCTTAGTGGTCGTGGTTGAAATGTTACATGCACACATGAGAGAGAGAGAGACCATTATTTGACCCTAGCGAACACCATCCCTAAGCCCAAATTTGCCCACAGCCTTGTGTATTGGAGTTACTCTTCTATTAACCAAATATGATTACTCAGGCTGACAGTACGCCTGGGTTAGCGAAGGGGCAAAGATTAAGTGTAATGCATCTTATGACAGGTTTGACTGACATTGGCTAGTTCAGCATAAGCCAAAGGTTGAACATAGAACCTCCCTGACACATACTGCATAGCTAGTCACTGAAAATCATTGAACCATGAGGAAGTTATATTAATTTTTTTTTTGTCATATTTATGCATTAAAAAATCCTTTTGGGACATTCCACCAGGAAAGCTGAACAGATGTTTGGAGAGACAGAAGTGTGGACAGCAGTTCCTGAGCGGGATCGACAGGAGATCTATGAAGATGTTTTGTTTTTCTTGGCCAAAAAAGAAAAGGTTTGATTATTTAAGAAGTCATTAAACAAGAATAGGCTGTTTAATGTTGGTTTTATGTTTTTGATCATACTTTCTGTGCTTCTGTTTACCTTTCCTTGATTTCAGGAACAAGCAAGGCAACTAAGAAAGAGAAATACCCAAGCGCTGAAAAATATCCTTGACAACATGGCTAATGTAACATACTGCACCACGTGGTCAGAGGCACAGCAATATCTAATGGATAATCCAACTTTTGCAGAAGATGAAGAGTTGCAAAGTAAGTTCATCTGTTGTAAGATATTGCAGATTAGAAGAGCTGTAAGTAGAGGTGTGCAACCTTTTGGAACAGGTAGGTGATTTGGCATAGCATGCCAAATGTATGAGCCAAATGTGATTCAAACAGTGGTGTAAGCAGAATCCTGATTAAAGGTCCACTTTCAGAGAAAGCATTGATTGAGCAATGAAGATTGAACAATATGCACTTTCAGAGTGCTTCAGGGATAAGACCTTTTGTTTCATGTTTAAAGCAAAACATAATTATTGAGCAAATATTTATCGCATATCTGTACTGGTTAGTTTCTCCGTGTGATGTCTGAACTGTTCTGCTTTACACGAGATTTAGTTTGTGATGTCAGTTTTGTCATGGTTGACCAAAGGGCACCATGCAGATATTTTTCATGAGTTTGAACAGATATGGGATTGCTTCTAAGTAATTTGTGAAAGTGTTTGATTTCCTGCAAATTTTCTGGCAAATAAAGATAATGTGCATATCGTCATTTTGGTCAAAGCTCCCCTCGTGTGTACTCCTAAAATGCTGGCACACCCGTTACATCAAATATGCTCATCAAATGATCATTGTGTTGGGGTCCAGTCAATTCCATTTCAATTCATTCATTTTATTTCGACAGAACATTTCCAAAAATTTCTGGCAATTTGGAAATTTTGACAAATTTGCACAGTCCACTCTTTTTATGTTTAATTTGTAACATTCACAGTATACTGCAACACAAATATTCTATTTAATGCGGCCTCACTGTTACGCATTAAATATTTTAATCTCTTCCAGTTCCTTGACAAATGCTTTGATTCTGGGTCTCCACCTGCATGGTCACAGCACTGTTAGCGATCAGATTAGTAAGCCGATAGTTGTCTCTTCCTGATGCAAATTATTTTTTCATAATAAATTCCCACAAATGAATATGTTGTCAATTTTTATTTTCAGTTCATTTTAAATTTTTGCAGTTTCTATGATAATAGTTACATTATTGATTGGGTGTAATTATTGACAAGTCATTCTGCACAAATAACTTTTTATCTATAACAAAGTTACATCAATTGGAACTTTGGACATTTTTAAACAATTGCCTTGTGAGGACATTGTACAGTTCCTTTATTTATTAGATTCTTCTGTGCAGCAATTTTGATTTAAGGCAGACGATACCACAAGAGAATGGCTGTCTTTGCAGTCTTTCATATAACATAGCTGCCTAGGATTATGACCCCTAAATAATTTTGATTGTACTACAGAAGCATACCATAGTGAGAGGTAGTTTTTTTAATTCATTGGCCTTCCCATGGTGCAACTGTCTCTTAAATATGTTCAATTTAGCATATTTGATTTTGTTCAATCGCCAATTATGTTTATAACTCAATATACAAGTTATAAATATAATCCTCGCTGTTAGGTTACACACAGTGCTGACTCACCCATTGATCTTGAAAGAAGCAGGCCTCGAACTCTGATTCACAAAATGCTTTATGTGGCATTTAAACCTTCCTGTATACTTAAAGGCTACAGTGTCTCTTTACCACTCTTCCTTCCATTGCTGTCTGTTGCGGCATTTCACAATGGACCGCCTGCTCTTCACTTTTATAGTCGTATTCTATTCAAGAAACATGTCCGGAGCCCAAAGGCAGAATTGCAGTGTGATTCGCATTGAAAAATTAATATATAAACATGCTAAAAACATGGTTACAGGTTATTATGTAATAACAAGAATAGGCAAATAAATTCAGCAGATAACAGGGAAGCAGTGGACCTGATATTAAAAGGACGGAATATTAAATTAACATTACTAAAAATACAAACTAATACACTATTGCTACAGAACATGCACTAAAATACATACAGATTTCGTTATTTTAATAGCTCCATTGAGAACTGGAACCATTTAAGGAATAAGACCTATATCTTACAGGTTTGGTACCACATCTGAAACATTCATTCAGTCCCCCAGCTGGCACACAGTGGCAACAGTATTTACCATCTCCAAGATGCAGAAATTCACAAGGTTCCGTAGCACCTTCCAATCCCTGACCCCTGCCGTCTAGAAGGAGAAGCGCAGCAGATTGATCGGAGCACTACGACCTGCAAGTTCTCCATCAAACCATTGAAAACCCTGATTTAGAAATATATTACTGTTCCTTCACTAATACTAGATCAAAAGGACTAAAGTGATTCAAGAAGGCAGTGAACCCCACATCTAAATGAATTTTAAAAAAAAACTCTGATTTGTCTTAATTGCACTGGGCGTTGTTAGTGGTCACCAGTTTTAAAATTGGGTCGACTGTATAACGGTTTTTCTGAAGTTCATGTAGAATTAATTTGTTATAGTTTTAATCTTTGTGACATATCGGGCAGTATCATATTATAAATCCTGAGGGCCTAACATTAGTTTCAGCACGTGTTTCAATATTCTTTTAGTCTGAGCAGTTTGTTTATGTATGAAGCCAGAATTGTACACGATTACTCAGTTTATATTTGATCAAAAGGACTCATGATGTCAGTGTAAATCAATATGAAGTTATGAACAAAGGGCCTGAAAGACATGGGAAATCTAAGCATGAACATTTATTATTTATTATCTGGCATATAAATATAACATAGAATAATTAATAACTATGGTACTAATTCTAGTGATTCACATGCTTGTCCTATGCTTTAAAATTTTGTTTCCATGTGACTGTCAAAACCTTTAGATGAAATACATGCAGAAGTCCTTATTGACAGGGTTGGTGGAATACCATTTGTTCTACTCCTCTTGTCCCTATGCATGAAATTTTCAACCTCTTTGTGAATTCCAACTTCATTTCTAAGTCAACCTTAAGACTGAAGAGTCAAGCTGCTTGAAACTTGACTTCTCACCTCACCCTATCTATCAATTACGGAAAGACAATATACTTAATTACCATTTTGTATTTCACATCCTGGTTTGGACTGCTCCCTCCTGCCTATTGTCAACATTTTAAACTTAGCTGGACCTGACACTCTGAATTGCCCACTATTTCACTGCACTTACCATTATTGTGTTCTCTCTTTATTGTGATTTTTGGAGAAGACGTATTGAAAACTTTACCAAGGTTGTAACCTCAACCTCATTTAAACATCCTGAGATAAAGCAAAAAATTGTGGATGCTGGAGATCTGAAACAAACAAAAACAGAAATTGATGGATAAACTGAGCAAGTTTGGCAGCATTTGTGGAAAGAAAACAGAGTTAACATTTCAAGTACAGTGACCCTCCAGAGTTCTGAAGAAGGGTTGCTGGACTCTAAAGAAAACAGATGCTGCCAGACCTGCTGAATTTTGCCAGCAATTTTTGGTTTTGTTCATCTTTAAATATCCTGAGCCTGGGTAACTAGTTGCTTCCTAGATACTTCCTAATTAATCTATTCAGAGATGATATGACACACCTCTGGAGCAGGTGAAAGTTGAACCCGGGTCTTCTGGCCCAGAGGTGCTGGTTGCTTTTTAAACTAACATGGAGAGGCTGCTCTTTCATTGGTCTAAATCAGAAAATGCTTTTCTAACACCTCATGACCTGGGAGGTTTAACCAGACTGTTTGGAAATTCTGCAATGCACACAGCACAAAAATGAAACAAGAGAACTGTGAGTGCTGAGTGAAAGGAACCTGCAAGGTGAAAGCAGAAGAAACAGAAATATTTCTGGTATGATAATTCATTCCAAACCTGAGATTGTAATTTGTGACTGGATCTTGATTTTATTGTGCTAATTAATGGCAGAAAGGGTTGGTAATTTGCCATAATGTCTGCTTTTGAAAATGATTTAAACTTAAGTTGGTTTTACATTTGGGACCCAAATGTTTTGCTTTCTAGATATGGATAAAGAAGATGCCCTTGTTTGTTTTGAAGAGCATATAAGAGCATTAGAGAAGGAGGAAGAGGAGGAAAAACAACGAGGTTTGCTTCGAGAGCGGAGAAGGCAGCGCAAAAATAGGGAGGCCTTTCAAGTAAGTGATAAGTTGTGTAAATTTATCAATATTTTTAATTTTGATTTTTATTTTAATATCAGATTTTGTTTGATAATACTCCTGAGATTTACTTTAGTGTCAAAAGTGCTACATAAAATTAAATTATTTTAGCAACAAAATGTTTTACATTGTTACTCATGAAATCTTAACAGTTCAGTGACCAAAGAAATTTTAAACTAATTATTTTTAGTTAACTAGTATTATTATTGTATATGTTGAGGTTTTTTATTTTTAGCTCTGCACTGTTCTCTACATTTTTAGCTTAACTAGTTGGCTGGACATCCAGGTTGAGATGCAGAGTGATGTTAACAGTGTGGGTTCAGTAACTGCACCGGCTGAGATGTGGGGATCCTGGAGTTAAATTACCCTAATCCCTAATGCCAAGAGGACTGTTGGCAACTTTATCTTTTCACTCAACAGTGGAGCATTCATTGCCCTCCAATTAATGAATTCCACAGGTTCACCGCTCAGGAAAGAAATAAAAAAACTCTCCACCTCACTTTTTGTTCTCCGTCTGTAATCCTTGGTTCTAGATGACTCAGCCAGGGGAAACATTCTCCCAGCTTCAATCCCATCAACTCCATTTTCAAGTTGGTGGCTGTGACAAGTGGATTGCCGCAAGCAATACAACTGGGCCTCAACTATTTATAATCTCTGTTAATAAATTTTGATGTCTTAAAGTCAGATATCAAAGTATCTAAATTTTTAATTGATGATAGAAAAGCTAGATGGGAATGTCAGGGGGACTCAGACTACATGGAGATATCGACAGGTTAATTGACAGACAACAAGGTGGCGGATGAAGTATGAATTGGGGAAGTGAGAAATTATTCATTTCTGAATGGAAAAGCCAAATATTTGTAAAGCATGGTGGAACTGGTAAATGTTAATGTTGAAATGATTTCAGTGGACTTGTGCAAGAAACACAAAGGTTGCATGCAGGTACAGCAAAAAATTAATCAAACAAATGGCAAATTGACTATTATTACAAAGGGATTGGTGTACAAAAATGAAGACGTCTTGCTACAATTGAGGAAAATGAGGAAGGATTTACTGTACAAATGAGGAAGGATTTCTTTTCCCGTGGGGTTTGTGTAACTGTGGAATTCTTTGCTGCAGAGGGCTGTCAAGGTTGGGTTAAGTATATTTTGGATGGACAGATTTTTTTTTAATCAGTAAAGAATCAAGGTCCATAGCGAAAAGGCAGGAAAGGAGAGTTAACAATTATCAGATGAACCATGATCTCATTGAATAGCAGAGTAGCCTCACTGGGCTGAATGACCTGTTTCTCTTGTGTCTTACAGTCACTACAAGTTATTCCTCCCATTGCAAGCTGTCATTGACTGTTGCACTGGGTAGTCTACACAGCCCTCAGAATTCCCAGTTATAACTACAGAGAGCAGTATCTGTCCCCTTGATACTCTACCCTATGTTGACCACATTATCTTTCACTTTTTCCATTTGAACTATCTCCTACTCCATGGTAACCCCCAGTCAACTTACTTATATTTATCTACACAGGAAGCAAGAACCTGTTACAGAATTGGAAAACTTCATCAATTTCGCCTCCAATTTCCACCCTGCCCTCACTTTCACCTGGTCTATCTCTGACTCCTCCCTTCCCTTCCTCAACATTTTCTGTTTCCATTGCTGGGGATAGACTGGCCACTAATATCCATTACAAACCCACCGACTCCTACAGCAACCTGGACTATACATCCTCACACCCCACTTCCTGTAAAGACTCCATCCCATTCTCTCAGTTCCTCTGTCTCCGTCTCATATGTTCAGATGAGGCCAACTTCGACAAGGGAGCCTCCGAAATGTCCACATTCTTCCTCAACGGAGGATTCCCCAGCTCCGTTGTCGACAGGGCCCTCAATCGAGTCCGACTCATCTCCCGCACTTCTGCCCTCACCCCTTCTCTTCCCTCCCGCAACAGCGATAGGGTTCCCCTTATTCTCACCTACCATCCCACCAGCATCCACATCCAAAAGATCATCAGAGCCATTTCCGCTACCTCCAGCAAGATGCCACCACCAGACACATATATTCCCTTCCCCTCCCCTCCCCTCCCTTGTCTGCCTTCCGCAGGGACCATTCCCTCCAGGACACCCTGGGCCATACTTCCTTCACCCCCAACACCTCCCCACAGCCCTACGGCACCTTCTCCTGTAACCGGCGAAGGCGCAACACCTGCCCATTTACCTCCTCCCTCCCCAGTATCCAAGGGCCCAAACATACCTTCTAGGTGAAGCAACACTTCACCTACACTTCCAAGAATCTAGTCTACTGCATTCGCTGCTCATAATATGGTCTCCTCCACACTGGGGAAACGAAGCGTAGACTTGGCGACCGCTTCGCAGAACATCTATGCTCTGCTTGCAAAAAAGACCCTGAACTACCTGTTGCCTGCCACTTCAATGCACCACCTTGCTCCTTGGCCAACATCTCTGTCTCCAGCTTGCTAGTGTTCCAGTGAAGCCCAGCGCAAGCTGGAGGAACAACACCTCATTTTCCGCTTGGGGACCCTACAGCCCTCCGGACTTAATATTAAGTTCAATAATTTTAGGGCCTAAACTCTCCCATGTCCCAGCCCCCCACCCCACACACCAGGCCTTGTTACCGCATAGCCTGCCACCCCCTGTTGTTACTCACTAACAGTTCCCATTAACAACTATTCACCCTCCCAGCCTGATCGTTAGCAACTCCTTTGTCTGTCCAACTGTCTTTCTCTCTCTTTGGGCTCTATCCTATCGTTTACTCCCTACCCCACCCTCCTCCCTATTTTCTGCATATAAATTGATGTTTTCCCAGCCGCCATCAGTTCTGAGGAAGGGTCACCGGACCCGAAACGTTAACTCTGTTTTCTCCTCCACAGATGCTGCCAGACCTGCTGAGCTTTTCCAGCAACTTTGTTTTTGTTCCTGATTTACAGCATCCGCAGTTCTTTTGGTTTTTATTTAGAACCTGTTACATGTTTGGTGAACTGAAAGGTGCAGATTTTTCTAGCACTGCACCTGGGATCCCCTTCTCTCACAATTACACTTCCCTGTCCTTAACCACTCTCAGGACCTTACCCACTCCTGAACCCTAGTGGCGTGACTGTCTACTGGATGACACTGTCCTGATAACTCCTGCCCTTGATGATGTGTCGTAATGGCAGCGCCTTGAGCACCAGCTCAGCAATTCTGAATTGAAGTTCTTTGTAAGGCAAATCGTCCTGCAGTTGTGGTTGTTTGGGATTGCAGAGTTCCTCACCAACTCCCAAGTATTGCAAATGTGATACAACTCCCTGCCCTGCTCACCCAATCTATCCTCGTTTTACTTGTGTTAACCAAGAAAAGTTCAGGAATTTAATTTAAAATATAATTCTAATGCATAACTTTTATTACTTGTTCATGCATGCTTAAGCTCACACTGTTCCTTATGCTATGATATCACTTTGTACTTGTTCTCTTATGTCACTCTTGGCCTTATCCTTTTAAGCAGTTTGTCCTCATTGACTGCAAAAAGAAAATCTGAAAATACAGGTTTTATCTTTCACTGTTCATCTCATGTTTTTGCAGACCTTCCTGGATGAGTTGCATGAAAGCGGGCATTTGCATTCCATGTCTACCTGGATGGAGTTGTATCCTGCTATCAGTGCTGATATTAGATTTTCTAAAATGTTGGGCCAACCTGGTAAGACATTTTCAGTTTACTTCAGCTTTTCATGTTCTGTACATATGCCTAAAGTATAGAACACGTTAAAGCCCTTCTCAGATACAAGTATTTTATATTCCATATGAATTGTTCTATTTTCAGGATCTACTCCACTTGATCTTTTCAAATTTTATGTGGAAGATCTAAAAGCACGCTTCCATGATGAAAAGAAAATAATAAAAGATATTTTGAAGGTAAATACAAAGCATATTAAATTTTACTTATGAAAATATACGATAGTAGATATATAACTTACATAACATAGTTGAACTGAAATCTGCAAGGGCCTACTAGAAAATTGTGGGTCCTTTCTTTATCACCAAAGAACTTCAAAATAACTTTAGCTGCAAAAGCCAAACAGTCATTTAAAAATAAAATGGTGATCCTGTAAGAGACTTCAAAAATCTATAATGAGCAGTGTGAGACAGTAAATAGCCACAGTAAGGCTGACAATTAATACATTTGTGATCAAAACATGGAAACTTAAATGTCAATCTTGTGGAAATATTAACATACTACAATGCTATTGTTTACCTATCTTCATTGTACATATGTAAATCAGTTGAGAATAGTTAGTAGGTGCATTTTTCCAGTTTTGGAATAGATTTTCACTTGCACAAACCAAAACTTGAGGACAGTGCGCATTTGTTTACAGGGTATTTCATGTAACCAATTGATAAAATCTGATGGAACAGCCACAAAAATAATTTAGACAAAATAATTATTACAAAAACTTTGAAGCTATTTTAATAATAGCAGTCTTTGTTACATGTTCTTTGAGCAATCATATGATGCAACAGTTTTACAAGTCACTAACACTAAAATATGTGATGTGCAATATTTTCCCTCCACAGGATAAAGGTTTTGTGGTAGAAGTCAATACTACATTTGAAGAATTTGGTACAGTCATTAGTTCAGATAAGAGAGCAGCTACACTTGATGCTGGTAACATTAAACTTACTTTTAACAGTGTAAGTAGCTTTTTAAAACTATTGTTCTAAGCAATGTGCTGAAATTCACAAAATCTTATGTTTCCTCCAAAATGAGTATCTCTAATAAGGACTTTTAGAAAACTTATCTCAAAAATTTAGATAAACTAGCTGTTACTCTTTTCTCAAGTACCTTAATTCCCTCCCTCCTGCTCAGACCTTGCCTGAATATTCCATCTTTGACTCTGCTCCTACTGTGTAGGTAGATCATCTACAGCAAATCAATTGCAATTAATTTCATTGAAGGAGAATTAAATCCCCACAGTATAGCTCCCTGCTTATGCTTCTCTTTGAAGCCTGTACTGTTCACACACTAATGCAGTGCTGTCCGTTACATAATGGCAATTTGCCAAGGATAAATAGCACTTGGGAAGAAAAAAAAAATGTGCAATGTGGTAAAGATTAGTGGTAAATTCGAGAATTGAGAAAATTTTAAAAACCAACAAAAGATGACCAAAAAAAAAAGCAGAAAATAAATTTGAGGGCAAAGTAGCAAATGACATCAAAATGGTAAGAACTTCTTTAAATACATAAAAAGGGAGAGAGAGGCCAATGTGAACATAGGACCCCTTTGAGAATGAGACTGGGTAAACAATAACAGAGAACCAAGAAATGGCAGAGGTGTTGAATAAATTACTTTGTATCAGTCTTCACAGTAGAAGATATAACACATTCTAAAATTAGTAAATAATCAAGGGCAAAAGTAGGAGGAGGATTTAAATACAATATCTTTCACTGGAGAAAATTTATTAAGAAAAATAATCGGGCTAGAGGCCCATAGGACCCCTGGAGCTGATGGGTTACATCCTAGGATACTAAAGGAAATGACTACAGAGATAGTGCATGTAGTGGTGGTAATCTTCAAACCTTAGATTCTGGAAAAAGCCCCAGGAGATTGGGAAACTGCCAGTGTAACCCTCATTTAAAGACAAAAGAAAGGGCAACTGTGGGGCAGTTAGCTTACTGTCCGTCATTGAGAAAAGATCAGTATCCTTGTATGAAGGATGAATGCTGTAGACCTCTGACTATATAATTAAGCAAAGTCAATATGGTTTCCTGAAAGGGAATCATGCCTTTCAAGCATATTAGAATTCTTTGAAGAGGTTAACAAGCAAAATGGATAAAGGGGAACCCTAAGAGCTGAAATATATGTTTGGGTTTCTAAAAGGCATTCGATAAAATACTGCATGGAAGGCTGCTTAACAAGACAAGAGTCCATTGTGTCAGGGGTAATCTATTTACATGGATAGCAGATTAGCCATCTGATAAATGACACTGCACTGTGGTAAAGGGGATATTTTCAGGATGACAACTACTGGAGTGCTGCAAGGATCAGTGCTGGAGCCGCAATTATTCTCCATTTATATTAATGACTTGGAAGAAGGAAGTGAATGTACTCTTGCCAATTTTGTAGATGACGCAAAAATAGGTGGCAAGGGCAAGTAGTGAGGATGATGCGAAGAAATAGGATAGAGAAAAGTTAAGTGAGAGGGTTTAAACATGGCAGATGGAATATAATGTGTAAAAATATGAGGTTATGCACTTCAGGGAGAATAGACGAGCTGAATATTCTGTAAATGAAGAAAAACTGTAGGAATCTGCTGCAGAAAAACTGGGGTTCCTTGTGCAAGAATTATACAAAGCTAACATATAGGTTGGGAAAGACAAATGGAATGTTAGTATTTATTTTAAAGAGAATGGAATAAAAATATAAAACTAGAAAAATCTTGCTAAACTATACAAGGCAGTACCCCCAGAATACTGAACTATTTCAGTCCACTTATCTGAGGAAAAATGACCTGGCATTGGAGGTAGACGAGAGGTTCACTTGGTTGATCTCTGGTATGCAGGGACTTTGAGGACAGTTTGAGTAGGCTATGTCTGTGCTAGTTGGAGTTTAGAAGAACTAAAGAAGACCATGTTTAAACTTCTACGATGCTTATGGTTGAGGTTGTTTCCCCATTTGGGAGAATCTAGGACCAGTGGGCGTAGTCTGAGTAAGGGTTCAGCCATTTGAAACAAGTGAGGAGCAATTTCTTTCCTGAGAATGGTGAATCAGTGTAATTCTTTACTGGGAAGGGCTGAACAGGCTGAGTCATTCAGTATATTCAAGGTTGTGATAGAAAACGTTTTAAACAGTAAAGCAATCAAGGGTTATGGGAAACAGGCAACTCATTGGAGATGGGGATGGTTGGATCAGCTGTGATTTCATTGAATGGCAAAGTCTACTGCTGCTACTTCTTATGGTCTGCCACCAAGAAGGATAGGGATGGCAGATCTATGAGAATACCACCTCCAGGCCACACACTGTCCAGCTCGGGAACATATCGCTGTCCTTTCACTGTCATTGTATCAAATTCCTTTCAGTCCCATCCTAACAGCTGAATGGATGTCCCTACACTGAATCGACAGCAGCATTTCAAGATAGCAGCTCATCACTCACTTCTCAAGAATGATAAGGTTTAACAATAATGCTAGTGATATTCTTATCCCATGAAAAAAATGGAAGACCTTCCAAACCTTGTGTTGCCTCGATTTATTTTTTTTAATTTGCTGCAGCTTTATTACTTCACCATGAAACATGGGCATCTAGCTCAGAGGTGACAATAGAAAGTGTAAAATAGATCAAGAGCTAACACAATAGATATGTATTGTGAAAGAATACCATTTTTAAAAAAAATGATAACATTAAATCTTACTTAATCTATTCAGGACGAAATAATCACTTTTATAATTTATATTAGTTGTTAGAAAAAGCAGAAGCTCGAGAACGTGAAAGAGAAAAGGAAGAAGCTAGAAAACTAAAGCGAAAAGAAACTGCTTTCAAAAGCATGTTAAAGCAAGCCACTCCTCCTCTGGAACCAGAATCAAATTGGGATGAGGTACGTATGTCTTTGTGCCTTTTGTAAAACATGCAGTCGATTTCAGATTTACAGTGTAATTCAATCCTTGTGTATTGTGGGTTTTTTAATTTTCTCTATGCATCAGAGCTTCTTGAGGTTCATAAACTAATACTCCCTTTCAGGTTCGAGAGAGGTTTGTAAACGAGTCTGCTTTTGAAGACATTACTGTCGAATCTGAAAGAAAAAGACTTTTCAAGGAATTTCTACAAATTCTTGAGGTACTTTGTGGAAAATTGTAATTAGAAGTTGCATTGTGTTTTATTTATTATTAATTTCCGTGTGATTTAGCTATTGTTCTGGAAATGATCCATGGATGTGGGGAAGCAGACTCGATGGGCCTAATGGCATACTTCTGTTCCTATGCCTTGTGGTCTATCTTCAAAACATTACTGATAGGATATTCAGTGATGTAAATATGCAGTGCAAAATTCACTTGCAACTTAATAACTTCTGGTTTTTAACTTTCATCAATCTATTTTAAGTGACATTCAGAATAATCAAAAGAAGCTAGTTATTTCAAATGTGCAGTTTAATTTTTCTCCCATTCCTCAACTGTGCATCATTGTTCAGCATTTTTTCTACCCTTTTCCCTTCATACACACGTTTATTTCTGTTGTTTATAGGATGTGTCAAAAATTAACTCCTTGAATTTGGCCATTCGTTTAATTAAGCTCAACGTTACAAGATTAGAATAAACTGACTTACCTGACATTTTTCTCCCTTCCCCCTTTGCAGAGAACCTGAGCTGCAATGGTGGAACGGCCTTTACAAAAAGACATTTGAGTTGTAGTAACTCAGCATCAACGTCAACTGATTGCTTATGCAATGCTCAGCTATGTTTTATTAAGACAGGGGAAATTGTTTAGATATTTTTTAATGAACCTATCCAGACATATTATAACTCACCTCTGGAAGATGTAGGATTTGAAACCCGATTCCCTGGCCCAGAGATAGGGAAGAGAAATAGTCTTAAGATTCCCACTCCTGATCTCTACCAGCTGATTACTGCCAAAAGAGCATGGGTATACACTTTTTGGTTCTGATCTGTAATGTACTCAAATAAACTACCAGTGCTTGATTGAGGTTTAAATGTGAATGGTCACTAGTCTAGTATGCAGCACCCATGAATCTGCACCTTACAAGAAGAATTGTTGTCTCAGCAATGTTAGAAGATTTGCAGTTTGTTTTGGTTTGACAATATACTTCATTATTTTCAAGAACAGCATAAAATTTCTGTGCTGTGCCCTGGCTGAACTTTTTTCCCTGAAGCAGAATCTCGGATAGTTAACATGTTGCTTTTGTTGTTCCTCATTATGACCAAATTGCCTGCTGGGTTTCCTTCATGTATAAGCAATAGCAGTAGTTATCAGATAGAGGGTGATAAGTGATCCCACAACCATAAGATCAGACCAAAGCACTACAGTGCTGCCACTTCCAGTCGTGACTAGCAGTAGACAATTAAACAACTAACCAGAGGACAAGGCTGAAACATTTGTAATTATCTTCAGTCAGAAGTGCCAGTTGGGTGATTCATCTCATCCTACAGCTGAGTTCCCATTATTATAAATCTCCATTGTCAGCCAATTTAATTTACTCCATGAAATTAAGGAGCAAATGCAATTAGCTACAAGAACATTATGTCCGCAGTACTACTGCCAGGTAGTCCAGAACTACCAATGCCTCTAACAATTTACCTGACAATGTGAAAGCTTACCTAGAATCATAGAATCCCTACAGTGTGGAAACAGGCCATTCAGCCCAACAAGTCCACACTGCCTCTCCAAACAGCATCCCACCCAGACCCATTCCCCTACCCCTGATTTCCCATGTCTAACCCACCTAACCTAAACAATCCATGGGCACTATGGGTAATTTAGCATGGCCAATCCACCTACCCTACACATATTTGGACTGTGGGAGGAAACCAGAGCACCCAGAGGAAACCCACGCAGACACAGGGAGAATGTGCAAACTCCACACAGTCGCCCGAAGCTGGACTTGAACCCGGGTCCCTGGTGCTGTGAGGCAGCAGTGCTAACCTCTGTGTCGCCCTAGGTATACTCCGTCCCCATAAAACAGGTCAAATTCAAACATGCACCTTACCACCCCATCAGTTTTTCCAGAGCATTAGAATAATGGTGGAACGTCTCATACACTGTTGTATCATGTGACGCTTGCACAGCAATACCCTGGTCACTGCTTAATGTGGGATCTGTCAGGACAACTTAGTTCCTGATCTCATTACAGTTTTTCAAAAGAACTGAGTTCCAGAAATGAGGTGAGAGCGGATTCCCTTTGCTTCAAGGCAATATTTGATTAGCATGAGATGAGGAGCCTTAGAAAAATTGGTCAGTTAGGAATTATAGGGGAAACTGTCCACTGATCAGTGTCACAGCTAGCACAAAAGAATAACCTTATGATTGTTGGATGATGGTCATCCTTTTTGCTGTATAAAAACTGGCTTACAGAAGAGGAATTTGCCCTGAAAAATTTACTAAATGGTCTTTCAATCTTTGCCTATAAAACCGTTGCAGAATTTATCAGTATTCTCTTCATTTCTCTTGACCTTACTTATCAAGTTTGGCATAACAACATAAGAAATTGGAGCCAGAGGAGGCTACTCAAACCCACAAACTGCCATGCCATTCATTAAGATCATGTCTAATCTGACCCAGATCTCAATTCCTCTTGCATGCCAAAGATTTTGCCAACAAACTTCAAGAATCTATCCATCCCTTCTTTAAATACCTTCACTGCCATGCTGGACTGCTTAGCAAGGTTAGATCACAAGGAATGCAGGGACAACTAGCCATTTAGATACAGAACTGGCTTGAAGGTAGGAGACGGAGGGTGGTGGTACAGGGTTGCTTCTTAGACTGGAGGCCTGAGACCAGTGGTTTGCCACAAAGATCGGTGCTGGGTCCATTGCTTTTTGTCATTTGTGTAAATAATTTGGGTGTGAACATAGGAGGTATAGTTAGTAAGTATGCAGATGACACCAAAATAGGTGGTCTAGTGGACAGCGCAGAGTGCAATGGGATCTTGATCAGATGGGCCTGTGGGCCCAGGAGTGGCAGATGGAGTTTAATTTAGCTAAATGCGAGGGGCTGCATTTTGGAAAGTCAAATCAGGGCAGGACTTATACACTTAATGGTAAGGTCCTGCGGAGTGTTGCTGAACAAAGAGACCTTGGAATGCAGGTTCATCGTTCCTTGAAAGTAGAGGCCCGGGTAGACAGGATAGTGAAAAAGGCGTTTGATATGCTTGCCTTTATTGGTCAATGCATTGAGTATAGGAGTTGGGAGGTCATGTTGTGGCTGTACAGGACATTGGTTAGGCCACTTTTGGAATACTGTGTGCAATTCTGGTCTCCCTGCTATGAAAAGGATGTTGTAAAAGTTGAAAGTGATCAGGAAAGATTTACAAGAATGTTGCCAGGGTTAGAGGGTTTGAGCTATAGGGAGAGGCTGAATAGGCTGGGGCTATCTTCCGTGGAGCATTGGAGATTAAGGGGTGACTTTATAGAAGTTTATAAAATCACGAAGAGGCATATATAGGGTGAATAGCCAAGACGTTATCCCCAGGGGAATGGAGTCCAGAACTAGAGGGCATTGGTTTAATGAGAGGGGAAAGATTTTAAAAGGGACCTAAGGGCAACTTTTTCAGGCAGACAGTGGTGCGTGTATGGAATGAGCTGCCAGAGGAAGTCGTGGAGGCTGGTACAGTTACAACATTTAAAAAAAGGCATCTGGATGGGTATAATGAGTAGGAAGGATTTAGAGGGATATGGGCCAAATGCTGGCAAATGGGACTTGATTAATTTAGGATATCTGGTTGGCATGGATGAGTTTCCTTACTGTACAGCTCCATGACAATGACCTAGCCTTCACAAACTCCTTTGCATTTCAATTTAAGTGAATGTATCTGTATCTGTATCTGTGTCCCCAGTTCAAGATATCGCCACTAGTTGAAACATCACCTCAACATTTACCCTGACAAGTCCCCTAAAAATCTAGATTGTTTCAATCTGATCACCACTCATTCTTCTAAACTCTAATTCATAAAGGCCTGTTTAGCTATTCTTGATAAGTGAACCCTTCATCTTAGCAATCATCCCAGTGACTCACTTTGTGCACAGCTCCAATGTCAGTACTTCCTTGTTTTTAAAAATCGGGGACCAAAGCTGTATCTAGTACTCTGGGTGTGGCCTCACCAGCACCCTGGATAGTTGTAACAGAAGATCCTTGTTTTTTAAACTCCACCCATCTAGCAATAAAGGCCAAAATTCTATTTGTCTTTTTAATTACTTACTACCTGCATGCTCACTTTGTGTTTTAGGATTTGATTTTCTCTTTGCTGAGGGCTGTCACTAGAGGCTATCACTTTGAGCATTGTTGTTAAAACTAGTTTCTGCCTTGATGCACAGACATGTATTGTTTGTTGGCTCTTTGTTATCCAAGTTTTTTTTTCCCTCTGTGTAATAGCATGAATGCCAACATCATCATTCAAAGAGCAAAAAACATTCCAAGAAGTCAAAAAAGCATCACAGGAAGCATTCTCGTTCTCGTTCAGTAAGTGCTTGCTTTTTGATTTATTTCAGAATAGTATGGTTTGATGAACTGTTTGATACGTATGTTGACACAGACTTATTGATTTGTTATATCATGGTCACCAAATTTGAGCATTGCTTTTGGTCAAGTATACAAGCAGACACTTAAGCCCTGATTTTCCGCTGTTAAGTGGTGCTAATTTGGGGCAGTGACATTGGAATGCCTGTTTCAAACAGGTTGGCGCTTCATTTAAAATATATTTGAGGCTGGGATGCCCTGCACATCATTTCCTGGTGTTCAGGTATACAAGATGTCAATCATGAAGAATGTGGAATGGGCATCCAGGTTTGCTAGGGATCAACTCTGGCTGTTGCTGATTTAAATGACCCAGGTAAGTAAATTTAATACGTGCTGTTTTTGATCATATTGCTCATTTATCTTTTAATTTTCATCCTGTCAATTTTTTTTTTTTGCATGAACTTGTGTTAATTGTTCAATTCCACACCCATCAAGCATTATTAGTTGCATTAATTATTATCCCAATAAACCTCCCTCTCTGTAGTGTTTAGAAGAATAGGAGGAGCATCTATCAATGGTTGTCAAGGTCAGGAGAAATCCTGTTTGCCCACCCAGTGGTATCCTGGTACTTGTCAAGACACCAAGCATGCAAGTAAGCTGCAAGATTCAAAGGTGCCCGTAGAAGATACGTGAATCCCAGAATAATGTTGACACTTTATGGAAGCACCAAGCTAGTAATTCAGATCTGGCTTTGACACTTTCCTGGGTACACTGGTTTTCACCGGCATCTTGATGTGTATTTTAGTTGACTCATTGCTGTGCATTTTCTTGGATCTCTGCGTATAATTATGAAACAGCGTTCTGATTTGAACCAGAATTTGCTATGTTAGTAATGCCAAACGTGATAGGTGGTTTGAAAGTGAGGGGGGATAAAATATCTGTAGCTGAATTTTAGGTGAGATATTCCATGGCAAGATGAAAGAGTATTGGTATAATCAGAACTACCTCATTTGATTTAGTACAACTTGTTTACAATATAATAGAGAATACACAGTGCTGTCTCCATTCAGTCATCGTAACCAAAGCAATCTCTATACATGCTATCCACAGCAGATTCTCTTATGCTACAGCATCCTACCTTCAAAACATTATTGCTGGTCTTCATTGCTTAACTGCATTTATTGTCCTGACCACAAAAGCCAGGTTGTCTTTGGCTCAATTTTCCTTGTTTGAAATCCTATTTGCTGATACAGCTTTTAGACAAAACTAAATAAACAGCTACTTTCACCAATACCCTATCATGTCCTCCAAACTGCGCTCCCCACTCCCACCCTAAAGCAAAGTCCACCAAAATTAACTTAGCAATGAACTCTACTACATTTCTTAGATTGTAGGGTGTACTGATTACTCGTACTATTTTCTGCTGTGACAATATTACCTGATTTTCTGTTGCCCCTAGAATGTTAAGTTTCAGATCTAAGAGATGCTAAAGAACTAGGAGTGGGAATAAGCAATTCAACCCCTCAAGCCTGCTCTGCAATTTAATATGATCATGGCTAATCTCATGTAAGCCTCAGCTCCATTTTCCTAGCTGCTCCCCATATCCCTTTACTCCATTACTAATTAAAAATCGGTCCATCTCCTCCTCAAATTTATTCAGTGTCCTGATGTCCATTGCACGGTGAGGTAGTGAATTTCACAGATTCAAGACCCTTTGAGAGATGCTTGATACTTCCGTTGCTCTGTGAATTTAACTCCTTCAAAGTGTATTTTAACTTCAAACACTGCATGTCCTAACCAGATCATTTTCTGTGGAAAATTGACTAGGGTTTTGAAACATGATATACATCCTGTTTCAGTGGTATTGAAGGAAAGAATTCACATCAGAGCATTCACTTAGGAGTGCACTGAAAAAATGTCATCAGTAACGCCTACAATTTTTGATGACATTATCTGGTGGTAACGACGATGGGCTGTTATTACAGGGTTTGGATCATCAACATGTCAGGTGCAGAGTTGTGCTTCTTGCAGCCGCATGCTGCAGAGTAGATCTGCCACTTCCAGAGACATAAGCTGTGGCCTCAATACCATTTATCATTCTAACCTCAAGTCAAGCTTCACAAATATTTCATGGCATCACCATCATTTGAGCAGCCATTAAAACAGGATCAGCTACTCCCATGGACGACTGATCTTTGGGTTTTGTTTTTCTTCTTTCCTGAGATCCCCTTTCAGACTTGTCAAAAGCTGCTGAGAGGATGAGATGCTTTGAGTGATTCCCAAGGTTTATTGTAATAATTCTAGCATAATAGTATCGATATCAGAAAACCCAAACTTGTGTTTGTGTCCTTTCAACTCCATTGATAAGTATCTATGTTTAACCCTATAGGCCTCAGAATCAGAAGATGATGATTATCACCATTCGAAGAAAAAGAAGCGTTCCCATTCAAAGTCCCCTTCAGACAGAACCTCTAGTGAAGAGTCAGGTAATCTTAACTTGGTAATTTTTAAAATGAAAATTTAACATTTTCAGTCAAATCAGATTTTAAGTATTTTCTCTTCCCTATTTAGAACGAAGTTACAAAAAGTCCAAAAAACACAAGAAAAAGGGCAAAAAGAGAAGACGCAAATCTGTAAGTCTCAACTTTTGTGTTCTTTGTTTCCATGCGTCTGTAGATATTTAATATTGAAGTATGATTAAAAATTCATATGCTTAAAACATAGCTGATAGCTGACCCTTACATTAACTGTACCACTTAATCTTTTTCTCAATGGTCACTGCTGTTCTAATTATCCTGTTTCAATCTTTTAAACGTGATCATGATTTTGTTTCTTCCTGCACTTGTCTCTCCTGTGGAACTCATTGGCCCAGATCTTGCTGTGGTAATGACAGTGATGGGCAGAATTATGCTGTCTGGGGCACTCTGAAAATGTCAGTCTCCTGGTGCTGACCTGCATGTTGGAGTCTTGGACATGATGTACTATATTTATCCAGATATTTACCCCCCATCCTTGTCTCACGCATAGGACAGTGATTAGTACTGGGAAGGCCCAATCCCCTCCCGGCAGCTCAACTCAACTACTCCAAGTATCAATCGCACATTTTCCCTTCTTCTTCCCCGTCCCCGTTCATACAACAGATAATTAACAGCATAACATGTATGAATAGTCTTGAAAAATAGAAAACTTTAATTTTTAAAGAAACCTTACCAGAATTCTGCAAGCAAACTGAGCTTAAGCGAAGTTACTTGTATCACTGACATCAGAATGGGGTGTCCCCCTTCTGCCTCTTTCCATTCATGCTTCCTGATTGTGTATCCATGCGGCAATGGCTTTCTCCAGAAAAGGCAAAACCATAGTTTCAATTGCAGTCAACAGAGACAGTAGAGTTGCATCAGCACTGATCAGAAGATGTGGGGCATTATCTGATTGGAACTCCTTATTGCTGTTGACTTTCCTCAATACTCTTCAGATCTTTTAAACACATGCCTGCCATGAGCTAATCATTGTTTGGTTTTCCTAACCTCTTATTCGCTTACAGCTTTGGTATTACAGAAGAGTTTTCATTCTTTACTTCTGTTTCTCAGTTAGCCAAAAGGAGTAATATTTTGAGAGTTTCTTCCAATAGAATTTCTTGCTTTTATTTTTATGTATTCTTTTGTGATTGAACTTGGTAAAACACTTCAAATTTCATTTCACTTTCTTCTAAGTAGCCAAAACTTTGCAAATTTAAGATATTTGATCTAGAGTGTGCGTTTATAAATTTTGAATGTATCATTCGGGAAGGAGAAGAAAAACATGTAAAGTCAGAGAAGATGAGATCTGAAAAAATTATTGTGCAGCTTTGGGTAATACTGTTTAGAACTTACATTTTTGCGAATCTTTGTGTCCAAATATGAAGGTGGATTTGGTGAGAGAAATGGAGGAAATCATATTTAATCATTTTAATTTGTGCCATTATTAACGCTAAGTGCAAGTAAATTATCATCCAAGTCCCAGTAAGCTAGAAAGACTTGACTTTTCTTCCTATATTGATGCTTGAGCCAAGGCTAGTTCAACCTGGCACTGTTCATCTGGTTGAACCACTAGTTTTCTTAATTTTCAATTTTTAATACTTGGTTGTGTTGAAAGCTGCATCATTTATATATTTGTTGGCATTTTTGTGTCAAAATAGGATGGGTATCAGTTACTTCTTTAAAAAGTTTAATTTGATTTTAGAAATGGTCAGAGAGTTCTTCCAGAGCAGTGTCCTAAATTGAACACTTCTAAGAAAGGAAGTGACTGCAAATTTCTGCAGTATTAATGGAATCTTATTTATGCTATTAGCTTAATGGCAAGTAGGGGCAACTTATAATACCTTTTAGCTTTGTTCTCAGTTCAGAAGTATGTAAGGTTGAGCAAGTTTTTAAAATTCAGTTCAGAAAACACTGGGGTGGAGTTCACAAGCAAGGTAGATTTGTCTCCTGGGAGGAGTTCAGGGAACCAGTTATCTCAGCATAAGGGTTTAATTTGTAAAGCTACCAAACCAAAACAATTTTGGTTTGTAAGTTGCAGATTTTTAGAACTGAGAAAATTTACACATTCAGATTTGTGTAAAGTACATGTTAGCAGACTTTGTCTCCATGGTCCACAGCGAAGCAACTGTAAGGAGTCAACTAAGTAGAAATGTTAAAGAGTTGAGATAGGCTATACAAGTCTGTAACAGATAATGTTTGGAAACAGGTTGGTACTTTTCTTTTGCTGTTTGATTTAAGATCACTGTTTCTTCTATCTAGCTTTTCATATTTTGTTTTGTATAATAAACTTCTGATAAAGAAAATCTGCAGCCTAATGTAAATATGTCAAAGGTAAAGTCACCTTAGTCCTCCCACACCATAAGATTACTCTCTCATTAGAGAGAGATGACTAGGGGTGGTTTAACTTGAGGGTCTTCACACTTCAGGCCAGGGGGAAGGTTGAGAAGGAGAGTCATTTATGGTAACCTCAGCTGATGAGAAGTGAACCCATGCTGTTTGCATCAATCTGCATTGCAAACCAGCTGTCCAACCAACTGAGCTAACACCATATTAACTGATAAAACAAGAAAATAAACCATGTGATACATCAAGCTTTGTTTCATTTTGACATTCAACCTATCCAGTGGCTGGGATCAAAACAGTGAATATGTGCTGGCAGTTATTGACACATTATTGGGCAAGCACAGATTTCACCATTTTCCATATTCCAGTTTCTTTTACATAACTCTAAAACAATGGTGAATATAACTAAAACAATTGCATTCTTGAAATCATTATTCTTCTTGCTATGTAGGTTACTCCTGAATCTGAAGGAGAACGAGAACGTGAGCGGGAAAGAGAAAGAGACCGGGATAGACGAGAGAAAGAAAGAAGCAGGGATGACGAGAAAGAAAGAAATAGACACAGATCACAGTCAAAGCACAAATCACCCAGAAAAGCCACCAACAAAGATACAGTATGTGATTTTCTGATTATTCAGATGATTGTTGATAGTGACATGGGTCTGTTAAATTTTTGTACAAAGCTTGTGGAACTTTATTACCTTGACCAAAATACTTCATTAAAAGATCTTTGGTCCAATAATCTTTCCCAGGATTAATATTGCTGCACGCTTACTTTTTCGATGATTTTATTTCTTCATCACTTGTTATTTTTCATTTTTGCTGCATGGTATCACCTTTATTTCCAGATCAAGTGATTGATCGTACCTTGTTCATTGCTGTTACCTAATTTAAAATTTGACCTCCAAAAAACTATTTCCATGTTGAATATCCTCTGCTTTAGTTAGGAATGCAAGAACAGGGATAGGTTACTTAGCAAGCTAACTTTTCAGAGCTCTGATGAAGAGTCATCTAGATTTGAAACATTAGCTTGCTGTCTCTCCATGGATGCTGACTTGCTGTGATCTCTAGCATTTGGTGTTGATGGAATGACTATGTGCAATGTTTTGAATGACTGATTCTGTTGTTTAATCTCAAGTCAAAAACCAGCAAATGTTTCAGCCGTTACCTAGCTTGCTTTCATTGTTTTTTTTCATATAGGTACCATGTTGGTTTGTTTCCATTTCCAAAAAAGTATCCCTGCTAGTGATTGTTACAATTTGATAGAGGGACAAGGGATGGAGAAGGTCTTTCCTCTAGATTTGTGACAGTTCCTAATCTATCTTGAGTCTCGTCTTCAAAAATTGCTCTATCATTTCAGAAGAGAACTGTAGGATGATTTTAAGAAAAAAATCAAAATGGACATCTGTTAACAATAAATAAAGGAGACATAACTACTCAAGTTTTCTTGTGCCATTTACTAACATTAAAATTTAACAAAGCAGGGTCTTTTTTGAAAAATAACTTAAATGACATTTAGATCAAGTTAACAGGCATAAACTCTGGACTTAGACTTAAATGAGTAACAACCTGTACTTTTCAAATTAGATTTGATGGTTACAAACTGACTGTTACAATACTTTGTCTCCACAGGCAAATTGGGAAACCTCTGATAGTGAGCTAAGTGAGGGGGAACTGGAAAAACGAAGACGAACTCTCTTGCAGCAACTTGATGATGACCAGTAATTAACACTTGTATGTATAAATCAACCAAGTCAAAAGTTGGGTGAGGGCAGTCTTTTAACAAGTACTCAAAAGAATTAAATATGATCTCCAATGTTTTGACACCTGTTGTAATTTACAGGGGGTATGATGATATGAAAATATTACAGATCCCGCAAACTTTCTTTCAATATGTGAGCAGTGGAGTTTCTTTATTATGTAGATAAATCCTTCTGATTCCAAGATCAACCAGCTTAAGTTTGGGTGCACATCATGCTACAATACTTGATATTCATTATGGGTCTTAAAACATACCCATGATTTCTTCAAAAAGCACCTGTACCCTTATTAATGTGTACAAGTCACTTCTGATCTGTTTCTGTATCCAACAGCAAGCTTCTGATGTCAGAATCTGTAAGCAGTTCACAAGTGTTTTTGGAATGTTGAAGATGTAAGGGAGTTCCAGAGTTTTGCCCAGAAATTGTTTAGCTTGTTTTACTTCGATTGTGGGAGTAACTACAAACAGTGGATTTTATTGTTTGGTTAAACTATTTATGCCATCGTACATTATGAAATATAAAGAGAAAATCCCTGGGTAATCACAAAGGACATAAACAAACTAGTCGTGGCTCTGAAGATAGCATGGCTCGATGATAGCATTCAGAGAGAGTGAGCTACCTGCTATTTCTGACACAAGTAGTTTTTCTGTATCCAACTGAACAAAGCTAGCTCTGTTGTGAGAACTGGGACCTTTGTGTGTGATGGCCATGAATCTAGACAATTCAATTTCAAAAAACCTGTTAAGTTTATTAAAATGGAAAGAATATTAGATAGGTGTGCCACAAAAAAATGTAGCAGGGTTTTTTGCTATTAGTAATTCAAAACTAAATTTATTCTAAATCTTGATAGCTTGGATTCCTGTTTTATTGTAGTCAATTTTGTAATTTCAAGGACATTTTTATTCTAATGTCTTTATCCATTGGAAAACATTCATACAAAAAAAATTGGAGCATGATGCAGCAAAGAAATAAGTTTGTATTTGTAGCAAAGTTCATTTTCCCAAACAGTACTGCAAATTTTATTGAAGTTGTTCTAAAATTTAATTTTCCAAGGCATGAAATGCAGCAGAGGGTTTATTTTCCATCTCTGTATATACTTGTGTCTGAAATACTTCAGTGTTGCTCATAAAGGGAGCAGAATATTTTTGTATGTTTTAACACAGAAACATTAAAATTTGTTTTCTGCTGAAATCAGTCTCCACATCTGAATTATTGGTCAACTAATCCTGTGCCATATAAAACATGGCATCTTTATACTGAGTTTACAGTATTGGTCTATGACATCTGGAAACAGACACAGTGAATAATTGATAAGAGGTACAGGTGTATTTTTACAACCATAATTCTCATAATTGACCTGTTCCTATTCACTCAGAGTAAGCACAGGCTACCTGGATAATTAGTTCCAATGTTAGCAATATCTATATTGACCACTTCTAGTCCCAGATCAAATACTTTGATTTAAAGACACTTTATCACCGTACTTAAATGGAATGAACAGTCTTGCAGTTCTCAGAAAAGATAGATAACATCGTCCTTCTATGATGTTTGTGAAATAGGTATATATATTTAGGTGGATTTATTAGGCTCCTGTACTGTCTCATGTGCTCTGACTTTGGTTTCTTTACTGTCCTCTCTATCAACAATTGAGTGAAAACAAAATTGGAAGCTAATAATATAAACACTGCTGCATTGCATTAACCTTTAACTAAGAACTAATGTTGTTGAGATAAATGACATGGGCAGCTAATTGACACCAAGTTTGCTAATACAGAGGTGAGGGGCCATACTACTTATTCCAGTTAGTACCATTTTCTGGAACCAGCTCAGCGTAAGATGCCATCACCACCCACACCCACTATGCAAATTTCTCAATGCAGAGGTTGAAACTGCTTGATTTTCTAGCCATATGAATTTCCAATCACTCCTCTTATGACAAACCATCATCCCTGTCACACAGAGAAAGCTTGAAGTAAAGGCAAAGGTGTCAGGCAGAAGTTCTGCCCCATCCTGCATGTAAAATGTAGCTTTGTAAGTTTTTGTGGTGACTGACTGCAAATATACTCAGGGACATGTGAAGCACAGATTTGTGTAGTAGCGTAAAGGTATTTATTTGACCAAATGCCATTAACAAATCTGGGTTCTAGTTTAATAGTTTTTTTTTATAAAACAGTTCTACTTGGCCAACAAGCAGGAAACTATAGTACATGAGCAGAACATGCCAACATTTCAATCACTGATCCAGGACAGCATAGAATTCTTTCACCCAAATCTGCAATTTAAAATTTTGCTGCTATGCATTAACTTAAAATTAATGGTCAATTGACTCAAGATGTTGCCAAAACTTTCTTTATCATAATTTTTGTTTACTTGCCAGTGAACAAAATACACAGTCTTGGCATGTTCTATGCACCATTTACACACCATGTAAAAATCATATAAAGCAGATGGCTTTTAAAAACTATGTTTGCAGTGAAATTGTAAGCCAAAGTTAATCTGGTAAAGAGGAACCAAGCCTTGGTCACTGTCAGTTAAATACAAAAACAGAACTATAAGTTAAAATAACATTCAAATTGTATAGCACAGGCTGTTGCAATATTTTTAAACAATATGTACAATATTACCCAGAGGCTATAGAGTGAATCAAACTGTAAAAAACCATAAAAATGCACTGATTTCCTAGCAAAATATCTGTACATTTAGAACAGCTTTATCTAAATATAACTACACATTGTTCAAAACAAAAGAAAAATGCCAGTCACAAGTGGGTCACAGGAGCCAAATGCAAACAGGAAGTTCAATGGTTAAATACTATACAATAAACTTTACAATCAACATGGTGAGGCAATGCAACCAAGGAGATTAAAATAAGCCAAATGGGTACCTACTCAGAAAAGTACATGAATTTCTAATTGTTAATGTACAATTTTACACCTTTTGTGTGTCCAGTAACATTTCTACTTAGACGCTCAATAATACTGTTTAGTTAGGGGTTAATACCTTTAGTCATATCTACAAGGTTTATCCTCACGATGCATTCAATCTCTTTTGATACAAGATGGTATGGTATCTGTTGATCATTGTAGATTGATCACCAATGCTGAAATGTTGCTTTTCTATTTAAATGACCAAATTCTACTCTGAATCACCACCTTGGTTAGATCATGCCCAATATAAAACTCTGCGCAATGCAAGTACAGTGTGTGGTCTTCAAATGAACACAAAAGAACATTAACTGCCTCAACAGTTTATGGCAAGCTATTCCACATGCATTATTCCTTATCTCCACCGAACAACAAGCATCTCCACTCATTTTTCTTGGCTTCAACAGTTTCATGTCAAATGTAAAACAGTTTAGAGATCACACTTAATTTTAGGTTACAACTTTGTTAAAATTTATTGTATATAATACTTATCAGTTATGTCATGTCAACAGTTACACTGCAGCAACATTGTGCTGTGCAGCTTGAGAGGAAATTTTACATTTTAGGCACTTATCTTGGGCTGAATATATCTGTTAGCCCACACAGATTGCCTGTGATTCCTCCTCGTCTTCATCCCGGTTTCCAACAGCATGCCATTCTGGTAGTTACGTGGTAACAAACAAAGCATTCGTCATGCAGACACCATATCATTCAAACGCACTCATACTCTCAACACTTTCCTTCTCCATCACAATGCCAATTCAGTGCTATTCACTGAACGCAAGTTTTGTTCATCAAAGCGTCTTCTCACACTTCTTCTCAATGCATCTGCACGCCTGTACGGTTGGTTCCTAAGATCTGTGTAAAAATGAAGTCCATGTTAAGATTGTAAAAACAAAGAAGAAAAGATCAACTTTAGTGAGAAGACAATCTCACAAAGCAGCTTGTGTGCAGTGAGCAATCCCAGGAGGTATTTCAAAAGTGACAAATACTGCCATTCCTAGTACTCAGAAATGAGTAACTCCTATTATCCTACATTTGTCTTAAATGCTATTTTACTCGGGTGTTTTATTTTCATCTCAATGCCTTTAATTATTTAAAGTAACCAACCAATCCTGGATAAGCCAGACCATAAGGTGCACAAGGATCCAGCAAACGTGTCTTATGGTTCAGTAAATAGAGAAATTAAAAGATGCTGACTTTTCAGTAGGTAATTGCAAACAACTATTTCCACTTGGTTTTTCAATGCTTGGTTGTGCAGCAGTCCACTGCATGGTATTGCACACTTTCAACCATTCTAGCTCTGGTTTACTTAAATCCTGTGCATATTGTTGTTTGCAGATTTGCTATCAGATTTTCTGAAGTATACGGACATTATTTTTTCTCCTTGCCTTCATTTTTTTTCTATTTTGGTAAGCCTCTGTTGCAATTCTCATTCCTTGGCTAAAAAAGCTGAATGTATTGGGCACTATCTGTTAATTGATTACCAAGTATGTTCTTAGTAAATCCAAAATTAAACTTGAAGAATTCTTTCAGTGATTGCTACCAAATAGGTGAAGAAAGATGAGACAACTGGATGCAAAAACAGAAACTGCTAGAAGAGGTCAGCAGGACTGGTAGCATCTGCAGACAGAAAACAGAAATGGACCATTCAGATGCTCTCATTGCTGATTATGCAGGAATTTTGAACTGATGAGAAATGAACTAATACTGCTATAACCCATTTGTGTGAACATGGACGTAGAGCCAGTAACTCATATGTCATTACTCCTAGAATAATCTTTTGAAGACTTAATACTTCTCTTCCACTAGAGAAGCTCTGGAGAGGCAAGAGACTGCCCATCTTTAACAGTCCAGTTTGTGTTGCTTTTGGTCAGCCCTGCAAAATAGGGCTGTAATATTCTATTGCTTTGTGACACTATCCTATGTAGAAAACTATAGAAATGAAGAGAAGATAAAAGATTTGATATTCCTAGCCTGTACGTGGTCTCCTTAATGCTGTATCAAAATAAGAGTAAGAATCTAATGAAACAAAACCATTTCTGTAAACGCCCACCTCACATCAGAATACTGATTTCAACATCCCACCATAATGGGAAGAATGCCTCAGTAGCTTCAATAATGGCACAGGTGTGCCTATCCTCCAGAGTTTGATATCACATGAACAGTCTGGTGAATGAAGTACAGGCCCATTGAACTTCCAGTGGTGGAGTGTGACTGATGGCATTTCCACAGAATGTCTTTACGTTAACTTGGAGTTCTAGTAAATTTCATGACCTTGGCACACTTAAGAGTTAGAATGCTCCTCTGAAGTACCTCGTATTGCTTAATTACATTAAAGGTAAATAATATATACAAGTCCAAGTTGTTCAGCTAAACCTGGAGTGATCAGCAAACGTGGCCTTGCAGATCCTTGTATGGTCTATTTTCCTTATTGAATCTTCTAGTTAAATTGGTGCATTTAGCATTGCAAAGGGAATGATTAGAATAGATCGTAGAATCCCTACAGTGTAGAAAAGGGCCTTTCGGCTCAACAAGTCCACACCAACCCTTGGAGCAGCCCAGACTCCTTCCCCTATAACCCACCTAATCTACACATCCCTGAATACTACAGGCAATTTAGCATGGCCAATCCACCTAGCCTGCACATCTTTGGACTGTGGGAGGAAACCAGAGCACCCAGAGGAAACCCACGCAGACACATGAGAATGTGCAAACTCCCCACAGACAGTCACCCTGGAATTGAACCCGGGTCCCTGCGCTGTGAGGCAGCAGTGCTAACCACTGAGCCACCATGTTGCCCCTGAATGATACCGAATGACTAGAATGGTACGTGTTCTTTAGGAAAGTTAGTGACATTGATGAGGAACATTTAATCTGTAAGGTGGAAGGTTCTATCACTTGTTTCACCAGGTCACTGAGAATGAAAGAAAGCCTATGTCCTAAACATTCTTTCTTAAAATATTGTGATAGGTAAATTAATGATATTTATAATGATATGTCACTAGTATCTGGCTTCTGTGATTCTAAATAGAGCCTCCTTTCCTCTGATGCCCAAGGTCTTGCTTCTGCACCTGGCTGAACAGAGCTGTGTCTGTGTCTCATCCCCTGAAGCTGTCCACAGCTGCTGCTTCTGCTTTGACCCACCTCATCCTGCTCATCACTCACTGTAAGCATCTCTTTTAAAAAAAAAAGCAGTGGAAGATGTGCTTATAAGATATGAAGGTTTTTTGCTGTGATGTCTCTGCTGGAAGCGTTGACTGCAAT